GGCAATAACTGGAACTGTGATGAAATATAAACACAACCTGACAATGATATTACAAAACGCAGTCGAGCGTCATATTTAGCACTGGCTCCTGGTGCTGTGCTTAATACCATCGAAGATTTTCCTGCAGTGGGAGCCGGAGTGAGATTAAAACCTTCAATTACCGGGTCGCTGTACAGGAGATGAGCTTATTGTATGCGCTGATTGTTGTGAACCAGATTGGAAAATTAACTGAGCCAACCGGCTTGCACGGACAAGTTGTAATGGTTCCCATAACCGTTGCTTGTATGATGTGCGTTTTTGTTTCGTGGGTTTAATTAAATTTGGTCCCACTGTTTTGTTGCTGTTATTTTCAAATCATTACTTCATACAGTTTATCAGTTAGCAAAACGGGAATTAGCGATTTTAAACAGGGGAGTTGTATCTGGTTCCAGTGGTAAACAGCGAGCACAGTGCTGAACATAATTTCATATAATGCACGGTCCTTTTGATCTTTTGGTTTTTTATTATTTGGTTGAAATTAATTTTTATTGTCTTATAAGTATTTTCTTCTTGGAGCTTGAGCTTTAAAAAAGTATTGTTAATGCATACATAAAACGTGCTCTTCTTCAAAAATCATCACTAGACCCAACTCGTTTCAGACTTATTCATTAAATATTGATTTTCACGGTTTACGTTCAATTGATTCCAAAGCAAACTATTGAAAACTCAACATTCACTTGATTTACTATTTTCTCGTTTTCGATGTTTCGCGTTTTCCAATCTAACAAGTTCGGTTTCGAAATTCCATGACAAAGCCAATGAGTATCGCTAATGAAAATTTGATTTTCCAATGACAACAGCAACGGTGGATGGAACTTCAATGGAAAGACTTCGATAACCGCAGGCGTTTCAGGGTCATTAGGTTAGATTTATCTTGCATTTTAACGATTTGCTTCGGTTTTCGTTCGGCGTTTGTTAGTGCTGCAGCTCATCGGATAATGCCCGAATTCTGTTCAAAAGGAGAGGCAAATTGAAAATGCGAAGCCTGTTATGCTCGTCTAGGCCATTGTTCGTGCCTATATGGAAATTTCAAGTTGAATGACTGGAATTAACTTGAGGGTTTGGTTAACTTTTCAGGCAAGGTACTTTACTTCTATGATTCTTTATTGCTGATTTGTATGGTGCCTCTAATGAACTTGAATTTTTGTTAAATTTATAAAAACCGTAAATAATTTTCTGAATTCACCTGGATGTTTGTTTTTTCTACGTTTTCTTTTACTGGGTTGATCCACCAATCCCGTTTTAAAATACCTTGGACGCAATTGTTTAATGCTTGATCTGGCTGACGTGGTATAACAGGTTTGAAACGCATGCTAGTAGTGGCGGCATTATTATGCATATAGCAAATATATAAAATAGCTTTAGTACATTTAGGCATGGGGATTTCAGCCGGAAATTCTGCGGTTTAAATTTGCTGAAAAGTTGACGCTGTTGAAACTAACGATCGATTGAAATGTGAGGTAATATTAGAGTATGCAAATTAGCATTTACAGGCAGCAAGAATTGAGTGTTCTGGAAATAAATGTGAAATGCTTAAAACTGCACAATCACGAATAACAATATTCTCTTATGACTATTTCTCTGACGTTGCGCAGCAAATGTTTGCTTTTCAATATAAAGGAGTGAATAATTTTGATAGCACTTCAAACCAGTTTTTGCTCAGTACCTGAAGTTGTAAAGTTTTCTTAGTAGATTTTCTAAAATTAGTTTCATGTTTTTGCTGAACTTATCTAGGAAGTTTAATTAAAATGTAAGTAAAGGCAAAGAAAATAGTTTTCACACTTTTTAGATGTGCATTTTCTTTATCCAGTAGTTTGCCAACGCTTTCCTTTGTTTGTCAAAATTTATTTTAATTTCAAATGATTTATTTTAAAATATTTACGTTCAATGAAATTTTTTGTTCTCGATATACTTTTCTGATTGCAGACGTAATGCATTTTCGTCTATTATTATTTTCTTGCATTGATCAAACTTTGCCATTGTTTGCTTAGTTCTTATTCTTTTTCAATTGTTAAGGATGGTTAAAGCGGAAAACCTCAGAAAGATTATTTCCCATCTGTCTGATACAAGTATACTTACTTGCTGCTTTTCAAACGAAGTGCTCAAAGATGAATGTATTACGCCTTGTCATAGTCGTAGTCTACAGAATGAAAATAGATTTTCTAATTGTATAATAATTTGGTTTATATGTCCAAAAGCTGACATAAGACGACTCATATATTTTTAATGCTTCAGACAATCTTTATTCGAGAAATAACTGCAATTGCACTATTAAATGTGCAGCTCGGTCACAAAACGTCAACAATTCCCTTAAGCAGAACGAACATTAAATAAAGCTTCGATGAAAGTTCATAAATATCTGGACTGAGTCAACAGCATAGTAGGTCGTTCGACTGCAAATGCGAACTCGAGTTATAAATATAAGGTATCCAATTTAGCGTCACTCGAAATGAAGAAATGTCGCCCCTTTAATAACGAAAGGGCTTAAAATAAGCAGTTTTGTGTTTTCAACTTTTTATCCCGTCAGTCCAAATATTCATTTGCCAGGGACAGCTCAGTAAGCCGACCAGATAAATAATAAAATATATAAAAGATCGACTTTTCTTCCTAAGCTCTTTTCGTAATTAAATTAAAAATTCTGCAGCCATTTTTAAATGGTTTCTCAAGTCCAACCGCTCGGTAATTTAGAGCAGCCGGCTCAAAAATAACGGCCTTGTTTTGCAGACTTCGAACATTTTTAGTGGAAATGTTTATGCTTATTTATAGTTTTGTGCCAACGAAATATTTTTGATGGCATTGGTACAGGAGAAATTTGTTAAGAACCTTCTCTCTAATATGGCCATTCGGGCCTACAGCAGAAACGACAATAACAAAAGAAATTATTCATTTGATGATTCAGTTATTGATATTTATCGTTTTGACCACTTGTGGGAGTTATAGTTAACATTTTCTTTGGGGATTACTTAATTGTTTACATTAATTCTTATTTGACGATGGAGATCCTGGGATTTGGTCTTGATCAATGTTTCGAAAAGTTTATGGGAAGTTAGACCTCGTTCGGATTGGGCATTATATTCAACGCGTTGCCGGTGTGGTGTTTTTTTTTGGTCAACGATTTAATTTTGTTTCGTCAACGATTGAACGGTGTTTGGGAACAGTCTTGGACCAACGTTTCGGCTATATTTCAGCCATTAACTGGGGTTATTAATGAAGTAATTTTTTTAGTTTTTATTGAATTCATTTTAAAAGTATTAATTCTTTTGCCTTACATAATGAAAAGCGGATGCGATATTGAAGCAAAATACATTTTTGGCAGTACACTTTTGCTGTCCACTTAATTACATTTGAAGTTGAAAAATCACGTTTAGACTGATTATTTATATCTCACCCTTTATGAGTATTTATGTGAATTTGTTACATTTATACCCGATCTCTCTTACTAACAAAACCGCATTTTACCTAAATGTTTCGAGAAACCTACTTTCTATAGGCAAAACATTTGTATATCTTTTGAGAACATCACTTTAGAATTCTTAACTTTTAGGTGCCTAGAGCAAACCGTTCAATGCAGTGAATAATTTGGCTTGTATTTCATTAATTTGTTTTCTATTATTTAGACCTTATTTTTATGGTGAATAATCATTGTAAGCAATTTGAGTTTTTAGTCTTAACTACTAATCACACCAGATATTCTTCATTTTTCAACAGTTGGTAAAGTTTGGTTAGTCGTTTAAATGTGCATCAAACAAACAAAACATGCAAACACACGTAGAATATTGGTTTGCCTACTTACGTTTTGAACGAAATTTACACTTGTTGCACATGTTAATTTCAACCAAGTTTTCCACACGTCTAAGCGGCACCTTTTCTTTTCAAGTATCAACACGGTCGTTGCTGTTTCGGACTTAGAAAGTCGCTCCAATTGTATTAAAATTTCCGTTTAGACACTTTCCATCGGGAAGATTGCGCTCGCCGTTATAGCATCTCCTTCGGAATCTGATTCATTATTAACACAAATATAAGCATGAACGGCAAAGCAAAAGTCCCGATTTCCAGCTAACCGAAGAGTGTCCGCGACGGCCTCAGCAGTTAAAGCGACGCGCAGCGCCGTCGATCGTGCCCCGTAATGTTCGCCGTCCCGACGCTAGTAGTGGCCATGCTACTGGCTCGATCTGCACGCCACCCCGCTAAAAACACTCGGTCTTACTTGGGTAGAAAGCACGTGTGATATGTGAGAAGAAAAATATACGTGTTAGCACACAAAGCATTTGAACTGCAGCATCTTTCGTGGTACACCGAAAATCTACAGTGATGTGCAAACAATTGTTTTCGTTTTTTGTTTTGTGTGTTTGATACCTTCAGTGAAAATAGGATTTTAAAGGACTTTAACCGTCGCAATTACTCTACATAAATAATTTGAATTTATCATCTGCTAAACTTCACCATTCGTTAAACTGATCAACAATTTTCATGGCTCCTTTATCACAAACTATTTTAGTAATTTAATCAAGTATTCTTCAATTGCAGTTTAAAAAGTCATATTTTATTTAGTTGGTTTCAAGTTTTTTTTGTTTTTCTCGAATCTTTGCATAAGTTTTTAATTTCGATATTTGATGGAAATCTTAGTGCGGTTTTTAGTACATCGAACCTTGTGCCATGGAACCCTACAGTAACATCATTTCCAACCACCGGAAAAAAGCTCTTCTTCGTTGAACACTTTTCGGATTAGTGTTTTAAAAATTTAAGTGTTTTGGTAACCCACCTGTGATTCCTTGTAGTGTAATTACGCACATGCTAAGTGTAACTGTTAAAAAAATAGTTAAATAACCTGTAGTGTTACCTCTGTGATATCTCCAGAACATTTTAAAGCTACTTCCAATTGGAAAGATCATTTCTTCCAGCTGCAAGAAAAGTCTTCAAGAAGGGTTTGTTATAAACGATAGTATTTTTCTCTCCTGCAGGTAACCTAAAATGGCAATGATGAAATATCCCGGTGGTCATTTTATGACCTTTCTGGTCCTGTTGGTGTTGGGACAAGTCTGCAGCAATGGTAAGTCTCAGTTTTTCAATTATTCCCACTGTTACATTCGCTTAGTCGGCTGGCATCTGGTGAATTGATTTATTTTCTCGTATTGAGTAGGAATTGCATTTGATGAAACGATATGCGACTTAAAAATTGCATCGGAGCAAAAATATATAACAGTTGGCGAGTCATACATTGCGGGATTATGGCATATTGTATTTGAAAAATATTTTACGTATTAGCAATATGGGGCTCATGGAACAAAATATATTAAATCAAAGATAAAACTCGCGCTTGTGTTTGATGTTGTTAATTTCAATATACATTTCAATTTATTTTTTTATTATATTAGTTGCCTTTTACGATGGCTTTTGTATTTTGTTAGAGGAAAATTACTATTCTATAAATACGTGTTTGCAGCGAGTTTTGATAGATAATGAATTAGTTCCGAGGATAATTGTAAATACTCGCGTTTTGAAATATTTTCAATAATTAATTAATTTGACGTTGTTATTATTCTTAAGACGAGTTCGACCTAATTTGAAACAATTGCAGGGCAAGCTGATAGAATCTACACTTTTTATTTGGAATCTCAAACCTTTTTTGAGTAGTGAGTTTAACTTTAATGAGTATTACAATTGAACAACTTCCTACATTTTTTTTAGGTAGCCCTTACTTTTTATACAGAAAAATTTTAAGCAAAGATACCCGAAATTGTTCAGCATGACTCCAAAAATCTTAAAACAGATGAATTCAAATTTTCTTGGTATTTGGCTTATGCAAGAGAAAGCTAAGGGCGACGAATTTCGGACGGCTGTTGAAATTAATTACGTAAATGTTTTGGAATTTTTTGCGACGGTCTTCGTTAATCCATTTTATTTGCGTCTTAAACTTTAGGCCTTATTTTAACATCTAATCGCAGTCTTTGACAACCCAAACGCGACATAATCCAATTATGGAAAGTGTCGGGACTATTAGAATACGATAAGTATTTTATATTGAGTAGACCTGTCTGCTTGGGCCTTATCTCTCAACTATCTATGACAACGTGCAGATGGGACACAAAAATTGTAATCTCGACTTCTAAGCGAATAATTACATAATCGCTCCATGTCTAAATGATACATTTGTAGGGATAGCAACAAAAAGTAGTCGAGACTGAACAAGAAGTCAATCAGCCCTTTTGTCATGGTATTTACTTTGGCAAAAGGAAATTACCCCGGATACGTTTTTGGTCAATGTTCGAAGGTTTCAAGGAAGAGGTTTTTACTTAATGATTCTGAAAGATTGATCATATTTATTGGTAATTTGGAATTTTTTGTGATACACACTTAATTTTTAAAATTTTGGAGTCATTTCATCAGCGTTTATTGAAAAACTCGAATATGTTTTCTTGACTTCTTCTCTTATATATATCACTGTTTTTAATTGCAAACTTGTATCAACATATTTTGTTTCGTTAATTTTGTTAATTAACTTTTTATTTACTTTGACAATTTGTTAAATTGTGTGAATTTTCCTGTATACATTGATAAGTTTTTATGTTGGCATATACGCTTTCAAAAATTGAAAAGAACTTGCATATTGTTTTTCAATGTTTGGTGTTTTTAAATAAATCAATACGAATATTATTTTTTGAACTTTGAACGTTGCGCAGTCCCCGAAAAGTTCGGGAATTGAGTGGCAGTTTAATTTTACATGTTATTTTCTTATCGTTATTTTTTTAGTCCCAGTCTTATTTATTCATATTTAATTTTATTTAGATGGATTTTGGATGGAAATATGTATATGTTCACGCGGAAGGCTTACCGCTAATGTATTTGGCATGGAGTTGAACAGTTTATGGTTAGATTTGTTTCCCTAATTGGTCGAAATCGTGGCATTTAGCCTGCTTTAGCATCAAAAAAACAGGCGCAAAAATATTCCTTATCAATTGATTATTTTGTTACGTTACGTCTAATGGCTCCTCAAATGAATCGAAGGGTATCACGTAGTCGTGCATTAAATGCATAAAAACCTAGACAGGAAATGGGCAATTTTTCAGATGTTCCAGGCCAGATTTAAGCGAGTGTATTTTACATTGCATGTCCAGACGCCATTGTGGTTGGCTAAAATGCACTCGAGATAGAACCAACGGTGGCCAATTAGCGACCGATTCCGGACCATGTCTGGCTCGATTCGGGAAAGTATAAATTTTCATGCAAAGTGGTATAAAGGCACGCTAAACTGATACAAGCGGTAGAAAAACTTATAGTTAATTCTTCCAGGGTTTTTAAGCGTAAGGTGAGAATGTGGTATGTCCACGAATGCCCAGTTTTCGACTCCAGTGTAGAGTCAATAAACTATTTGAAATGCTTATGCAAGTTTTACTGTTGGACACAATTTCAACTAATCGACTTTCAATTATTTAAAAAAAGGAGCAAACACTTGTATCATTGCTGTTCATGTGCAGCAGCGCTCCGAAATACGTAGTATTTCTTAAAAGGCTGTCTATGCTCAATAGGAAAGAAAGACCATCCCTAGAACATTGTTGAAATACAGGGTGTCCCATAAGCTCATCATCAAACGGGTACTGCGATATTCTTTGGACCAAAAGAAGACGATCTGACCTAACTTTTATTAACAAAAAATATCTGGCTCCTCTGCTATTGATGGTCGTATACGTCTCCTTGGACAATTAAAACGAAGTTTTTCAGAAGCTCATAATAAATCAAAAGTTGTTCAAAAGATCCATTAATTCTTGTATTTATCGACTAATGAATCGTTTGACTAAGTAGCCAGAGGCAATATCAGGGACCAGTTTCCAACTGGTTTTCATCAGAAAATCTAAGCCGGCTTAGTCCACTCTACAAAAAAAGAACTAAGCGTAGTGTGTATAAAATTGATATTTAATGGTTAATTGGTATCTTGCTAGTAAATAGGAATATATGTAAACCTTATAAAGAAACCAAGTTTGTAAGTACTTTCCTAAACTAATAAAAGCTAGCGCATCTTCCTTCCATATGCGTTTTCGTCCTTGTCATCTAGAAAACATTTCTGTGCTAATTTAATGTGAAGGAAACGAGAAAGGTGAATTGTATTCGTGTAAATTTTGCAAAAAAATTACAAATTGTGTAAACACAATACATACGGAAAGTGTTTGATCAGAGCAAACAATAAAGTAACTTTTAAATTATGCCTGAATTTCCGTTCAAAGCACGTACAGAGATTTTTGTGCTTTATTTGTCTCAGCAAACACAGCAATAAAATGGAATGTATGCGGCAATATCGGGGCTTAAGTTCACGTGTGACGGATTTATTGATTCTATTTGAGTACAATTATCTCGACGGGATCTAAATAGAATATTGTGTAGCTGATGGAATGAACTCAATCGCTCATAACCCATTAGCGGTATAACCAAATTGAATTTCATAAAACCAATTATTTTACTATTGTTTTTGATCTAGCATTTACGTTTTATACAGCCGAATAGAGCACAATATAGCCATCTAATATTCGCATATAGGAGTTCAATGCCGAACATTTGGTTAGTAAATGAAACGAATAGTTGACTTGCCGAAAAGTCTACTCTGTTTCTTGTAGTTACAGTTACACAGGACAAAGTATACGATTATAAAATTTTGAAATATGGATTTCTAATCTCCCGATAAAACAAGATAATAAAACATCGCCAAATCACTATCTTAAGTGCTTTGTTATTAACATTTTTAAACCTTCTAGCGAGCCATTAAATCGATTCTTTTAGTCTGCCGTATATTTTGCCGACATGGAAAATTCTGTTTTATTACCCTATTATTTTACGGCTTGCATACATAGAACCAGAGAAAAATTGGAGATAATTAATTTTCTGTTAGGTTTGCTAAAGTAGGTACTCAATTTTACCCACAGTGGAAAAGTGTAGTTAATTGTTTGCTCATGAATGCCCAAAATTCAAAAAGTGGTCGGAATTAAATTTGCTTTTCTAGAACGCAGGCAATGCTTTTATTAACAAAGTAGATGAATGTAACGTACGATCCCGATGCCGATAAAGCATATGTACTGTTTTCCTTTATTGTTCACTAAATATACATAAATCTGCTAAAAGATTTAAACCAAGGGTTTAAATATGTCACTTTTTAATATATTTCATTAGATGCGTTAATAGCATTCAACAAATTTCACTTTCCTGTTCTGCAACTATTCATTGCGTTTGCATCATGCATTTTGTCGGATTGCATTAATATTTTGTGATAATCGAAGTTTTGTTCTTATAGATTCTCCATTGGTCAGCAAAATAAAACGTTTATTGCGAAACAAAACTCCTTAGCACTGCACGCAATATTTATTTTCTAATGACTTTTTCTGATCGGAATCTCGCATGTCACGTTATATTTTATGGGTATTGTTTTTTGTTTCCACACAATAGAGTTTTATTCACAATGTATCTTATTTAGGGCAATAAAACCAGGAAATTGCCTATTGATACCTAATGTGAATATACTTTAATGTGCAAAGCATTATTATATCAAATTGTCGTTGAATGAAGAACCAAATAATAAAGGGTTCGATAAAATCAAAACAAAGTTGTTGTACATTCACTCTACTGTTGTTGTTGTTGTGCTGAATGTTGGTTTTCACGGAATACAAAAAAACTTAGTTCTTGTGTATTGTAACAGAATCCATTATGACCGTTGTGTTTTATCGAAATTTGTTGATGGCAATGTCTTCCTTCGAAGTACGTTTAACATACACTTGCATTATTCTTATGTATGGAAATAAGTCTCGTTTACGTTTTATAGCTTTAACGAGCTAAATGATTATACATGCGAACCCTTACTTGATTTGCGTTTAGTAGAGAACATTGGATTTTGCACGAGAAATTTACCGCCATTTCCTTAATATAATTTTATCAATGGCTAAACAATCAAGAGTCGGAAAATCATTCGCAATAGCTTATTGCTAATCTTCAATGGGGAACAAAAATCAGTTCCAAATTTTTACGTCTGTTTGATTTTTCTAATGTTCAATTGCAGTTTTATTCGAATAT